TCGGTACTGTAGCAGCTACGACTTTGCCCTTTCAGGTAAGTAGCAGCTACGACCTTGACCCTTCAGACAGTCTACAGCTACGACCTCTGGACTGTCGAGACTCCTACCCGACAGGTCTACAGTTCGAATCCCTTCTACCCTGTGACCTACAAAATCCTACCTACCACTGGCGGTCCTACAGGTCGCAGGTTCAATTCTACAGGTTGACACAGATACTGTACACAGGTAAGGTGGGGATCTAGGGATCGAGCCCTGGGATCTGCATCAGCTACTGCAAACCGGTGAATACCGTTTCACTCCCGCCGGCCTAAATTCGAGGTCCCCCGAGAAAATTTCAGTCCAAGGCAGGACCTTTACCTTTCCTATCTCTTTCGTAGGCGCGGACTATGTCGGCAGCTGTCTCTAAAAGTTCAGTTCTCGTGAACCACCGGTCGTCTTCTGGTTCTTGATATGAAAATCGGACTTTGTATTGTTTCTGAGGACGACCTCTATCTCCTGTTCTGAACATATCTTCACCTACGATGCCGTCAATGTCGTATCGCCCGTCCATATCAGGTGGGATCATAGATCGCCTAGATGGAAACTGATCCCTTTGTGTGCACGGCAACAACTTTGACGCATGGAAAACTGGGTAGGTGTGGAGGTGTAGGGGCAGTTCAATGTAGGATGGACCATCTTCGCCACCATTGACTTCTAAGACTGGCCACGGTCCTCTATAGGTGGGCAGTAACTTTTGCGAGATGTTCTCCTCAGGTGCAAACTCTTTAGAACTGACCCAGACTAAGTCGCCTACTTGGAACTGTGAGGGGCGACGATGTTTGTTGGCTTGCTCTATCATCCTGTGCTGGGCCTTCCTGAGGTTCTCTACAACAGTAGCTAGTTCTTTCTCGTGCTGTACAGCAAACTCCCTGGTCCCGGGCGGTAATCTGTGAATCTGATCCCGGTTGAGTACCTCAAACGGTCTGCGCGGCCTAAAGGACTTGTGCAGTTCGTTGGGAGTGCGGCACGTGGACAAATGCACACTATTATTATACGCACTAGCTACTTTAGGCAACATCTCATCCCAGTTAATCTGATCTGGCCTAATGTACATGCGCAGAACTTGCTGTAGGATCTTGTTCATCTGCTCTGTCTGATCGTTAGTCTCAGGATGGCGGCCAGACGACATCAACAACTTAGATCCATACACTCCCATGAGTTCTTGCCAGTTCTGGCTGGTGAAGCGACTATCTCTATCGCTAACTATTGACAGTGGGATTCCATTCTCACTAACCCAGCAGTCAAAAAACTTTTGTATCGCTAAATCTGTACGTGCCTCTGATGGCAAGGGAACAAAAACTGCATAATATTTGCTAAAACGGTCAACTATGACCATGACTTGGCTCTTGCCATGCCTACTCTTGACTTGGGTGTCCATGAAGTCGATGGACACTGAATCTACCGGCTGATCCGGAATGGGCAAGGGTCTGAGAAGACCCTAACGGGGCACGCGTAGAAGTCTTGTTACGCTGGCAGACTTTACAACTGCGAACATACTCTACGCAGTCATTCTTCATCCCTGGCCAGGTATATGCGTGCATCAGATTGGCTAAAGTCTTTTGCCAACCAAAATGACCCTCTGTATCGTGGCATTCTCCCAAAATCAGACTACGGACCTCTTCGCTACTGGGAATGCACACGCGGTTAAATACATTAGTCTTCTCAAAGAGCAACCCTTCAGTAGTGCGGTAGTTCGGCTCAATCTCTGGGGCCTCCCTGACCCTTTTGAGGAGGTCACTATAGATAGGGTCCTGCGCATAGGCTTCTCCTCCTCTTCTTTCTTTATTCTCTCCTTCTCTCTGGCCATCTCTTCCTCTATCTTCTTCAGCTTGGCCGCCTGCCCCTCCTGCAGGGCCTTCTTCTTGGCCTCTTTCTTCTCCTTTCTTTCCCTCAGGACGGCGGCCATCTTCTCCTCCTCCTTCTTCGTGTATGGCTTGGTGGAGGCACCACCCCGGGTATCTACTCTACACGTAAAGGTGTGCCAGAACCGCAGAGGAAAGAGGAGACGCCAGAGGGTCCCCCAGAGGGAGAACCCCACAAGCAACCCATACATCGGATAGTCATCCATCGTGGTGTCAGGTGCACGACAAGAGTCCCACTCCTCACCACTTAGACCTACCCGGACACTGACCTATTGACTGACTCTCAAAGGACCACAGGGTAAGACCCTGTCAACTATGGTCACTAACCCAAGACCACTCTAAGGCTGTCACTACTGAACCAAGAGCTGATCTGGAGGCATTTAAGGAGATCCCCTAAACTCCGCAAGAATTCTTTAACGTCGCAGACAGGACGACGTGATCAGCTTGGTCCTTGCCTGTGCTTTCAACCCACAATTCAGCCTTTCCGGCCTACTGTGCCACACCGAGCAGCCCGCCGGTCTGTACCGGTCCTTGGAGGGGTTCGTGTCCCTCGGGACAGTCGAGTCGTCAGACACAGATCATCAGCCTTACTAGGTCTGGTAGGGGGGGGGTTCAAACAGGCCCTCAATACTTAAAGACTGGCTGGTGTGGCAGCCCCAACTGCCGTTCGAGCCCACTGTGTCCTACCAACCGTTTCCAGCCGGTCAGCACCGGTCCTTGGGAGGGTTGGGCCCCCCTGGAAAGTTGGATCAGCCACAGTCTTAGCCCTACAAGGTCAGAGAAGGGTTTTGTCACCCAACCCTATCCTTCATCCACAGAGTCCTAACACCTAGGACAGAAGAGACTCAATGCAGAAAGAAGGGACAGACAGACTCTGACTCAGCAAGTACCGTAGGGTGAGTGAACATCCATAGGGTAAGGGGATAGGCTGAGGGCTCAGCAAGGTATTACCAACTCCAGCTTGGTCAAAATCTTGGTCAGCAGCTCCGGTCAACGCTTTGGTCAACGTTGAGTCAACACGAACACTCTTGGTCAACGCTCGGTCAACTCCTTGGTCAACGCCTGGTCAATCCTCTGGTCAACCCCTGGTCAACCCTCTGGTCAACCCCTGGTCAACCCTCTGGTCAACCCTCTGGTCAACGCCCGGTCAACCCTTCACCTTGGCTATGGCTGCCGGCACCTTCACCTTCGTCACCCTCGTCGCTACCTTCCCCTTCCTTCACTTTCTTCTTCTTCACTATCTTTCTTCTTCTCTTTTTTTTTTTTTTGTGTTTGCCCTTGGCTATGTCTGTCTTCTTCTTCGATACCCCTCCTTCCACACTTCTCTTTCTCTCCTCAGTCCCTCCTTCTTTGTCCTCCCTATCTCTCTCCTTCAATACCCTGTGTTGATGTTCCGCGGCTATGGCCGCTGTCTTCCTTCTCCACCGGACTACGCAACTCGCCTCACAGGTAAGTGACAACCAATCTTGGATCGCACATCTCTCTCTCTCTCTCTCCCGCCTTAGCGGTATCTTCAGCGCAGCAGGTAATAACCCAATCTTGTATTTCTCACCTCTCTCTCTCTCTCTCTCTCTCTCTCTCTCTCTCTCTCTCTCTCTCTCTCTCTCTCTCTCTCTCTCAACCTTCTTCTTCGTCGTGGTCCTCTGACTGCAGGTGCGTGGCGGCTTCTTCAACCCAAGGTCCGCTATGGCGGACTGCCTCCTTCGGTCGCCACCTCAGCTATGGCGCATCGGCCCTGCACACGACAGCGCGCGTGGAACAGCGGGTACCAGCTCCGATACCAGTGCAATCAGACTCGACTTATTCACACTTTTCATGCACGTGAACAGCAGAACAACAAACTGGCGACATGCGCCCACACAGAACTCAGAGATATGGCTTCCAAGTAACAGT